ATCTTTCAAATTAATCATTATTGGCAATTGACATGTGATATGCTGCTAGTCAAAATTCATGTACTTGCAGAAATTAAAGAAAGTATACAAGTCATCAATGATGTTTAAATACGTGTATTCTACATGTATTGAGTATCATGAAATTATGAATCTTCAAAATATGGACTGCACTCTCCTAGATAAAATCTAGAACTTCTATTCAAAGAGTTTTCATCTTTGATTAAGCAATATATATTTTAACATTTTATAGTGCATGTAATGGTATTTTGTTGTACCAAATGTGGCCTAATTCGAATCAAACTGTCTCAAAATATATCAACATTGAAGCATTCACATTGTATCTGGTTTCATATGATGATTTCATCCCGTACCCATGGAACACTGAGACTAGTATGATAGACAAATCATCTAGACACCCAACATGCTTATCATGTGCTATGTTTTCATGAACCTTATAAAGTAGACATTCATTGAAAATTACAAGTATGGCCAATAATTACTCATTAAAAACCAGGAAGCTTGCAGGGGACAATTATATATAATAAGTTTTAGGTTAACTGTGTATCAGACGATAGCAAATTGACAAAAATAAAAGCACCTCTCACGATCTGGGGTAGAAGCACAAGCACTTCGCCAGAACATTTAGGGATATTTTGATGACATCCTTTAACTAATGAACATATTTCCAGTGTGCAAATATTTCTCAACTATAAAAGTTTGATTAATTTCAAGCATGAACTATTTCCCACCATTTTAAAAGGGAGGTGATGCTGATGCTGATAATTATAATCTTTAGCTTAGAAACAGTCAGGGTAAGGATATATTAAAAGATAACAATAGCGATAAGTATGAAAACGATCGTGCTTGGCATTCACTAAATTCATGTGTTTGCCTAAGTTCACTAAACTAATCAATAGTATTGTAAAGTTTGTATTGAATTGGCAATGCGAAAACATGCATTTTCGCCTACACTGCAAGTATTTGCCTTTGCGGCCAAACCAACATTGCAAACTTTTGCCAGAGGTCAGGATTTTTGTAATGTCAATTGCATGTTAGCTTATTTATCAGGAACACAAGGAAGGTGGGCAAAGCGCTGCTACTCCAGTAACAAATTTCCACATTTTGGTTAAATTCTTGACTGATTACAAAGTGCTTTGTATAATAAAAACGTCCACTGGCGAATTTCGAAGGTGGTTTACAATGTTTGTCAGATGCTGGAATGGTGAATATGAGCGGATTTTAGGTTTTGTTTACATCACTCTTCATGCAGGTGTATGGGTGCCAATGAACCATCTGGTATGGGGAATTCTTTAATAAACCTGACATTTGTCAACCTTCTTCATTCACAAACGGAACCCTGTACGGCTCACACAAGGGCCGGGGAGGGGAGAATAATAGCGATATTCGCCGGAATCCAACACCAACACATTGGGGAACATACCAGATACAGAGAAGGCCAACGTTCCAGTATGCTAGATCTGGTTTTCACGAACGAGGACGGCATGATCAACCACATAGACTATGTACCTGGAATTGGAAGAAGTGATCATATTGGAATCCTCTTTGGCCTTACAGTATACACACCTGACACCCACACACCTACTCCTCACCTCCAGTTTTACAGAGGGCAGTATGATGATATGTGTAAAGAGCTAGACCAAATCGAGTGGGAATCTGAATTGGAGAATAAAAGTGTAGAGGATGCTTGGGAGTTCTTTTTAGTCACCCTGACTGAAAAAATGGAGAAGTTCATACCGAAGTCAAAACCAAAACACCGCAGAAAGAAACAGAGATGGATGACTAGAGAGGCCATGAGGAAACAAAGCCAGAAACATCGAGCTTGGAAAGAGGCACAAAGGACCAAACATCCTGTGGACATCATGAGAGCAAGGAGATTAGCCAAACAGCTGCAAACTCTGACCAAGCAGTTATGTAGGAATTTTGAGAAAGACCTGGCTATGAATGTGAAATCAAATCCCAAGGCATTCTGGAGATATACAAACAGCAAACTCAAAACCTCTTGCAGACTAGGCGAACTCAGAACTCCGGACGGTGAACGAATATCAACTGATAAAGGAAAAGCGGATGCATTGAACACCTTCTTTGCCACTACATTCACTGATGAGGATAAAGGGCACATTCCAAAACTCCCACAAAGACACAAAGGAGAGACATTGACATCTATCTCAATCTCTGAAGATGATGTTTATGAAAAGCTTGTCAAACTGTCGAAGTACAAATGTGCCGGACCTGATGGCATTCACCCTTGCGTTCTAAAAGAAACAGCCGCCTCAGTTTCAGAGCCCCTCTCCATAATCTACAATGCATCATTGAAGGAAGGCAAACTACCAAGTGCATGGAAGGTCAGTCATGTGGTACCTGTCCACAAAAAAGCCAGTAAGATGGATGTTAAGAATTACAGACCAATCAGCTTGACATCAGTACCATGCAAAATTCTGGAGTCACTCATTCGTGATGAGATAGTTGCCCACCTGATGGAAAATGACCTACTTTGTGATGAACAGCATGGCTTCGTTCCCGGACGCTCTTGTGTGACACAGCTCCTGACTGTCATGGAGGCATGGACTGAGATGCTAGATAAAGGAACCCCTATCGATGTGGTATACTTAGACTTCAAGAAAGCTTTCGATAGTGTACCTCACCTTCGCCTTCTATCAAAACTTGAGACATATGGTATATGTGGCCAAATTAAGGAATGGATAGCAGACTTCCTCCAAGGTAGATGCCAAAGAGTTAGAGTCAATGACGAGTTATCTGACTGGACTAAAGTAAGGAGCGGAGTGCCGCCGGGTAGTGTTCTCGGCCCAACAATGTTTGTCTTGTGCATCAATGACCTACCAGATGGACTTCAAGGGTCTGTCAAGATCTATGCTGACGACACTAAACTGTATGGCAAAGCATCCACCAAAGATGATCTGTGCTCAATCCAATCTGACCTTGATGCACTAATGGAATGGAGCAATACATGGCAAATGCACTTCAACACACAAAAGTGCAAAGTACTACACATAGGCCCAGGAAACGTCAAACACATCTATGCCCTTGGAGATGATGTCCTTGAAGCTACATCAGAGGAGAAAGATCTTGGCATCCTCATTGATGACGAGCTAAAGTTCCATAACCATGTGGCATATGCAGTCAAGAAAGCCAACGGAGTACTCTCCTGCATCCGTCGCAGCTTTGAGTGCAGAGACAGGTCCACAATTCCAAAGCTGTACAAAGGCCTTGTCAGACCTCTCATAGATTACGGAGATTCCATATGGTACCCTCGCTTCAAGACAGACTCCAAAACCATAGAGAGGGTGCAGAAGAGAGCTACCAAAATGATTTATGACATCCGCAACCGTCCTTACATAGAGAGACTTCGGGCGCTCAACCTTCCCTCCCTCGAATATCGCAGACGACGAGGCGACATGATTCAGGTTTTCAAAATCATCCAAGGACTTGATCGCATCCCAGTTGATACCTTCTTTGAACACTCGACTAGCAACACAAGAGGCCACAGTCTAAAGATCGTAAAACAAAGATGCTCAACGAAGATTAGGCAGGATGCATTCAGCCAACGTGTCATCAATGACTGGAACACACTTCCTGAAGAGGTAGTCACTGCTACCACGGTGAATGCCTTTAAAGCCAGACTGGATCGAGTATGGAAGGACAAGCGGTTCTGCTCCCCATATGAGTAGAATACCCGACGCAGAACTGAGCCAGACAAACCTACCAAGAAGACACCCAACTACGAGAAGGAAGAAAATGGAATTGAACTGGAAGCCCGACTGCTGAGATCACAGCATTCTTCCAGAATCTCGGGTAAAGGTAAAGGTAAAGGTAATATTTCCCCTCAGTTTTTTCTTTATCTAGATCTAGACTTTAACAGTTTGATATTTAAATAATATAATTGGAAAGAAAATAGATCTTCTTTTCATATACTTTAAAAATAACATCGAAAATCATTGTAAAACATCAAAATATAGCGCCTTATATTCAGCTAATCTGCCCATTTTCTTGAAAAAATTGTGCGCGATGAAATCAGCATTCACACACAAACTGTATTGAAAAGCCTCCCCTTGGCCTCACTAACCCATACAATGTAATTATCATGCTTCAGTGTCTCTAATACTCTTCTCCTTCTTCTTCTTTGGAACACTCCTCATGCATCGTCCCGTAAGAACCAAACAAGGAGGATGAGGGGGTGCGCACTGTTGCTCGTTTAGCTTAGAATAGATGCGATCAGTGGAGCTTGACGCAGTCTCAGCAGAACCATCAATTTCAGAGACTGAATCTTTTGTTCTGTATTAGATCTAGATAAATACTACGCATCTCTTAAATGACAAATAGCCAGTTCATGCTAAACCTTCATCACACACTGACAGATATTTACACTAAGCCTACAGTCACTCACTCACTCACATATACCCAGGTTCAAATTATTTTTAGATGATCATGATCATGATGATGTCATTGTCTTTTTGATTGATTTCCTGATCGATGTGACGGCAGATCTAATTTACTAGATGCAAATACTAATATGATACAGCATAAAATACCAAAAAGAGAATCATACGTACGATAAAATCTAAGACAAATAGATTTGTCTGCTTTCCTCAGTAGTGATAAAGTTACCTAGACTCGACTCGTTAGGTCTATATTCAGCGCCTTCTAGCGCGGGCGGGGTACCGTATCTTTCCACGTACGTGAGGAGCCGGTTGGGCCGCGCCGATGCCTACTTCCGCAATCAATGTGCACAGGTACTTACGTGCAGTGGCTTCCCTGTTTACGGGAAATCAATGTGAAACGATAGGTTTCTCTAGTCCGGCTCGTTCGTTTTACTTTCTCCTAATTCGAGAGGTTTTGTATTTGAAATATTTCATTGTCCATTATTTTTCTTATAATTTATTATATCTTATTTTATTTATTTTTACTCAGAGAACAAATGATGATAACTATACTTTTTAAAGATATAAATATTTATTTATTATTTCTTTCGTTGAATTAATTGATTAAGGCAAGCCGTCGACTGCTCCCGAATGTCTGTGTCAAGAGAGCCAAAATTAAGCCTAAGTATGGATTGTTTCGATGATATATTTACAAATGTTTTTAAAACATTGTGAAAGATATGCTAGAGATATCAACTGAGTTCTTCGATAGTTTAAATTTGTACTTTTTCGTATGTTAATTTGAGTTTGTTCATGTTTTGAGGTTATCTAATGAAGGGTCCCGTGTGCTGTTATTTGTGTGGGTGAATACAAAGAGTGAGGTCAGTGCAGTGGAGGATGCCGGATGGGATGAATGGTTATTTTGAAGTAACCTAGGTCTACATGTTAGCCATACAAGCCTTTTAAAAAAAAAAATTATTATTATCACCAAGCTCTCGCCTTTCTGGAGAACCATTTTAACAAATTTCAGAACGTAAAGCTCACAATGAACCTTGCATAATTTGCAATTTGTCTTTCGACACACCCACATTGGCCACATCATCAATTCTAAATTCTAATTCTAAATTCCGACGCTGATGCCAAAGACGTCGGAGCTCCAGAGCCTGTTTATGAAAACGATTAAAACAACGGATTGGGTCACATGTTTTCGGAATGTAAAGAGGTAGTCTAGTAATTACAATTTTGACTTACAATGTTTTTCGACTCCTAGTCTGGGCATCTTAATTCCAACCACTTGAAATTATAATTTGAAGAAGTCTTTGATGGGAAAAAGGGTGATTCTTCGTCCTAACTGACGATTCATCCATGATGTATCTTCGATTAACATGGCGAAGAGAGAGTATACATGCGCGGTAGTTGCATGATAAACCATAGATTGTAACTTTTCAAGCCTTGACACAGTCAAATACATACCATATTCAGCATAATACTGAAGTGCTGTAGCATGAATTTTTCTCAGAACAATATCATAGGTTCTTTTATTACTTACTTATTAATGTTGGGTGCTAAGTGAATTTAACTAAGAATGCTCTGTATAAGCTCTCTGTCTTCATCTTCTTTTTTCAGCTCTAGAATAATGGCCCAAACAAGCGAATCATTAACCAACATTGAGAGGAGGGAAAGAAAAACAGATGAACCTACCATTAAAGAAAGGGAAGAGAATTTCAGAGAGAAAAAAGCAGTTCCAGCATGTCAAAGGTCGAGTCCTCGACTTCCTATATCGGAATTCCTGCTGTATGCCACGGTGGTTATAGTTGTTTATAGTTATGCCACATACCAACTGTATAAGTCATCACAAGGTAATGATACTATTAATAACCCTTAATGAGGCAGTGCTAAACTCTCCTTTCAAATTATGTATCTTGATTCATGGAAGGGCTGAAAATTTTCAAAATATAAAATAGTTTTTTGTATCATTGTTAAATCTTTGTTAAAGTTTGTTAATTTCTTTTGTGAGGAGAAATAGATAAATTTAATGAAGCAATATATCAGATTTATGTAAATCCGCATTGCGACTAGAACCTAAATGACAGTCATTTTGCTTGAAACTTCAAATGTTTTTTGTTATATTGCATAAGAAATTGAGTGAAGTGGAATACTCCCCAAATATAAGTGGGCTACTTTTAAATGATAGTGGGGAAATGCAATGATTGAAAATATTTATTTCATTGCAAAAGAATGGATATAGATCTTTTTGTCAAATTTATAAAATAATTATTTGGGAGAAGTGTTAAAAAAAGGTATGGTCAACTTGAAAGTTTTTCAAAGATAAACCAGTTACATCAGCCAACAATTTTTAAGAACACCTCCCTAATACCAGAGTTGATTTCCTGAAAATTCAAGAACTATTATCAAATTTATTCTATCAAAAAGCTTTTCACATAAACATTTTTAACCTTTGAAGTATTTTCTAATTAATCTTTAGTTTTGTCTTGAAATTTTAATAAGCACCATCTAAAAGAACCAATACATTTGTAAAAGTTCTTTCTATTCAATTGCTGAATTAAGCAATGAAGCCAAAGGATTTTCATTCATCAACGATTGTGTTTACTATTACACAGCCTTTCAGAGGAAGACGATAAATGGACGTGGCCTACTTCAACCTGGCTGGGAGATCTTGGGAAAGAGGTACCAAGTAAGTGCCATATTTGATTCACTTTGCTTTTTTGATGAGAAGTGGAAATTTGAACATTATTATTTAGTAATAGTGATAATACTTATATAATATTGGAAGGCTTTGAGTGTGATACAAGAATATATTGCTTGAGCTATGACAATATTGGACGAGTCGAAGACGAGTTTAATATTGACATAGCAAGAGCAATATATTCTTGTATCACACAAAAACAAAGCCATACAATATTGTTAATATATGATTAAGAGGACCTTAAATATATTATTTTATCATTAAGAGTAAATGAAATGGATTTTCTGGATTACAGGGGAAATATCCTGGAAATACAGATTATTTTTATTTTGTTGTGTGCAATTTATTATTGTAAAGAGGTATTATTATGTGTAAGTTAATACATCTACCAGTCCTGATTAAATTTTGATTGTTTAATGTGGTAATAAACTCTTTTATATCTCATGAAAACTGTGATTAACTTAGGGGGATCAAGGGGATCCAAATTGATTGACACAGTTAATTGATTGAATCAATTAGGTCACAAAATTGTCACAGTAGAAATACTGGCAGGTGTATATCCAAGTTTGTAAATAGAGAGTTCAGAGAATATCAAATTAAACAGTAGAGCTTTTTTTTCTGTCATGTTTTGCACATCAATAGGAAGTTCATTTTATTTCTAGTTGGCATTCACATTTGTCTCATATCATGCGAGATTGTGTGTACTGTTGGCAACTAGATTAGCAATATGGAAATAACAACCTATGATATCTTCATCAAAATTTAACCATGACTCTATTGCATGTCAAGTGACCTTATCCACCTGTGATTATAAGTGTTTCCTTCCCTGTTTGCATTTCAGGAAACATCTGAAAAAAGGGAATGATTTTTGTCTGTTTTGTTTCAAATATTGAACTTGGTTTCTATTTCTTTAACTAGCTGATTATTCTGCCTAGTGTAAACAGAGGAAGTCATGTGATATGGTGTGGTTGGAGGACAAATTTGACCTTCCTTCCTTCCTTGTATTTGCTGTATGCAGGTTTCTTACCAGTGCATATCACACTCATTGCAAATATAAAAATAGGAGATTTCAGGGGGAAAATACCAAAGGGAAATTCTCCCTTGTGATATCTCATGCTTGTGATAGTAGATATGTCATTACATGCAGTCATACATTATGCACATTTGCTTTGGTCTTCCCTACAACCCCAGAGTGCTGCAAGACCATGTTTCACTCAATTTGGTTGAATGGTAAACAGTTTTCTTTCAAAAAGTCTTGTTGAATGTGGAGCATTTTTGCAGTGAGCCAACTTCCATGATAGCTATAACTAAATTGTATATTGTCAAATTTTAAACCTTATTGAGGTTAGCAAGAAAGGAAGTAAAATCTTTATATTTGTAATAAGCAGAAGGACTGTGTTGCAACTCTCTCCTTGGGCATCACCCCTCCCCTTCTGGACAACAACCCCTTGGAAAGGTACTACTTAATTAATTTACCCTGTATGTAGTTGTTCAAGGGTAATTGGGGTTCTTTCTTAAATGTAGTTGTAGATAATTGTCCTTTGGGGATGATTTTGGAGGCAATTGCTCTTGTAGATAGTTGTTAAAAGAGGGTATTTATCCAGGTATGGTGCAGGAAATGTATGTTTGGTGGAATCTTATGTTCATCAATTTCTAATAGACTATGAAGATATGAATGAAATTAATATTGTAAAAAAGGGGAAAAGGGTTATTAAGATTTTAAACCTTCACAAAGGGGACTAGCAAATTCATTTGGTTTTGAGCCTAGGTCCTCTAGATATGAACCCTCTGCTGAGCCATCTCATCTTTTTTCATTTTTTGTTTCATTTCATTTATTTTCCACTTCTCATAAAAAACATATAACAATTTACATACAATATCTGATTAAATACAACAAAACAAAACAAGAAAATAACATAACAATATTAAAAGAATTTGAAGCACCTAGAACTTATATTTGAGACTGTGGTAGAGCCAACGAAGGCCATTGACCTGTCAAGGGCTGGTCTCCAGGAATAAATTAAAAATATATTGGTAGGTACAAAACATAATTTAGTACACAACAAAAGGGAAACAGGCGGTCTGTGTGCAGGAAAAGTATGATACACAAAGAACATTTGAGCATAAATAATTCAGGTGGTGTAGTAATTATTTTTAAACAAATCATCATATTTTAAAACATTTTAAAAGACATTGTTTATATTTGCCTTTGAAAGAGGCAAGCGAAGGGCTGTTTTTTATGTCATCAGATAATGAATTTCATAGTTGAGGTCCCAAGTGTCTGACCGTCTGTCTGGACGACTCATACTTTAACAATTGAACACGTGGTCTATTGGAATATCTGGTATTGTACTGATGCATTTCAGAGTTTAACATAAACATATTAAAAACCTCAGGCAGCAAGTTGTTGAAATATTTGTACATAAATAATGCAGTTTGCAATTTACAAATGTCAAAAATATTTAAGACTTTAAGTTTCTTAAAAAGGGGGTCACTTGGTGTTCTGGGATGAGAGTTGGTTATTGCACGTAGAGCTCTTTTTTGTAATACATATAGCTTATTTATTAAAGTATTTGAACATTTCTCCCATACTATATTACAATAAGAAAGGTATGGCAAGATCAATGTGTTATATAAATTGGTTAAAATTCTCAGAGGAATGAAAGGCCTAATTCTATACAATACTCCAATTGCACATGCTATTTTTCCCATGATTTCATCAATATGACAAGACCAAGTCAGGCTATCATCTACAGCAATTCCAAGAAATTTTATGCAGTATACTTTATCAATCTTGTAATTATTGATGTATATATCCTCAATTTCATCACCAAGATGTCTATTTCTTTTCTTAAACACCATACATTGAGTCTTTTTTTAATTGATCATAAGCTTGTTTGCTGCAAACCATTGGTCAATTTTTTGAATTTCTGTACAAATAATGGCATTTAGTTCATTTATACTTTTCCCTTTTAAAAACAAAGTGGTGTCATCAGCAAATATTGTAGGGCAAATGAGTTGAGTAACATATTGAACATCATTAATGTAAAGCAGAAATAGAAGGGGGCCTAATATTGAACCTTGGGGTACACCTACAGAAATCTTGAGTAAAGACGACTTGATATCATCCAAGTAAACAAACTGACTTCTGTTATTCAAATAGCTTCTTATCCATTCTAGACATACTCCCCTTATTCCATAATATTCTAATTTTTGTAATAATATGACATGGTTGATATTATCAAATGCTTTAGAAAGGTCAAGGAAGATACTAAAGGCAATATGTTTACTTTCAAAGGCATTATTTACATTATCAATAAATTCTAGTAACGCCAGGGCAGTAGAATGTCCTGAGCAAAACACAAATTTTCTATTATATAGAATATTATATTTATTTATGAATGACATCAATTTAGTATGAACTAATTTTTCAAAGATTTTGGCAAAAATGGACAAAAGAGAAATAGGTCGATAATTTGAACTTATATTCTTTTCTCCACCCTTTTATATAGGCAAAACTTTTGCTAATTTTAACTTGTCGGGGAAGTGACCACTTTGTAGAGATACATTATAAATATAAGTTAAAGGCATAGCAATTATATGTATACATTTCTTGAGAACTTTGGAGTCAATATCATCATATCCTGGACTCTTGCCATGTTTTAGTCCTAGTACTATATTTACAACATCGACCGTCCGTATGTCAGAAAAAAATAATGAAGTAGGATAGTCACCATGTAAGTATTTACCTGGATTTATATCATTTGGAGGTATATTTGTTTTAATATTTATGCCAACATTAACAAAGTATTCATTTAATAGTTGCGCTATTTGCTTCTGATCATGTATAATGTTACCATCAATAGATAAAGACATGCATTCAACCTTATTAGTGCCATTTTTCAAAATGGAATTTATGACTCTCCATGTAGCTTTTAAATCATTATGTGCTGTATTAAATTTAGAGTGGAAATATTCATGTTTGCTTTTTCTTATAGCATCACTTGCAATGTTTCTCCATTGTTTGTAAACCTGTTCACTTTACTGACTAGGATTCTTCAAGAATTTTCTAAATAACCTGTTTTTCTTCTGACACAATTTTTTAACTTCCTTGTTGTACCAAGGTTTTTCTTTTCTCTTTACAGAATTTTTAGCTCTACGAAGAGGGAAATGATTATTATATAAAGAAGTAAATTTTTCAATAAATAAGTTGTATTAGACGTTTACATTTTTGGAATCATTTTTAACAACATCTTCCCAGTTAACACATTCTAAATCCCGGTAAAAAGAATACATATTTACATCATTGATATCACGGACCATTTTTCCATTACTACCATCAACTTGAGCATGTAAATTTGATACCATGAATACAGGCATATGGTCACTGACTGCTTGAGTAATTATACCTGAACTATGAATATTGCATATATTATTAACAAAAATGTTATCAATGAGGGTTGCAGTTTGACTTGTAACTCTTGTTGGTTTTGTAATCATAAATTGCAAAAAATCATTTCGTTACCAGAAGAGCTCGCTTTAAGAAGGTCGACGTTAAAATCCCCCAGTACAATACACTGCTTCTTTTCATTTATGATTTTAAAGAGAACTGGTTCAATAGAGTCAATAAAATCACGAACAGGTCCTTGCCTCCTCCTATTTACCACTGTTTTGCTATGGATAAAGAGAAATCTCAAGTTTTATCCATGGGAGCTACTGCTAAATGTATTCTATACGGAAGTAAATTTCTATGATTTCCTATCTAATGCCCTTCTCTGTCATGGCACATAATATTTTATAATCATTTTTCTTCCTTCTTCATAGGATATGATGCCTGGGGAATGGAACCATTGGAAGTTTTTCACCCTTCACCCCACACCCCTGGCTATTTACGCAGGTCACCTGACAGGTGGATTCATTATCTCTAAATACCTGCCACATGTAAGTCTTACTAGCAGAAAGATTCAGATTTAACATTCCTTTACAAAGTAATTAGCAAATGACACTTTTAAAAGACACGATTGATCATTAATATCATATTTTGATAACTGTAAATTATCTTCTTTGACCAATGTACACAAGGTCTTTGTTGAAGTGGTACCTTACATATACATGTAGCTTACAATGTAGAGTCTTCCCTCTTAAACACATTTTTTTTTTAATTGATAATTTCTTGAAATGTTCTCGAGTTTTCATCCTCATCTGCTTTCATCTTTCAGATGGTATCTATACCAGGGTCCCGTCTTATAAAGAGTTGCGGTTGATCTGAATCAATCTCAGTTTACAGTCTCCTATCTCTTATATCCTATCTTGTATATAGTTGCAATCGATATCAATCACAAATTAGTTGTGATTGATCGCAACTGTTTATAAGACAGGATCCAGATCAGTAGACTCCTATAAAAAGGAAAGAGTAGAGTGCTACTTTTAAACGCTTTTTAATTAAACAAAAAGGTAAGCATACATATTAAACGAAGGATGATTTCTAGCCACTTGTTCAGTGCCTCTATATTTCTCGTGTATACTTAACGTAATGATTATTGTTTTATTATTTTGTCATTCTTGTATCAAGTTCAGGAAGAGTTTCCTCATCTTCTCATCTGTAGTGAGTACTGCCATCATCGTCAGCCCTCAAGTCTTTGCTCTCCTGATAATCCATGCCATCATAGCATACTTGGTTGTAATCCTAGGTCGTCGTACATGGTTGATATGGATGGTGGTTCTCATTCAGCTGTCAGTGACTGTAATTGGATCTTTCTCTCAATGGCAGGTACTTGAAGAAAAAAAATCATCATGCTTTTGGGGGGTGACATGCTTTTGAGTATGGCAATTTAAATTGCTTTTGTCACCCCTGACCAGCAGATTGTATCCTTCTCTCTCTCTCCACTTTCCTAAAGCTGTTTGAATGTATTATGAAATGTCTATGTATTATCTGATTGTTATACTCATTGTATGTTTTTCGATTGGTCAAATAAATAATAATAATAATTATTACCCGTATCAGACATCTGAGCTGGTCATTTACAAAACCGTATTGCCCTAGTTTTCACTAGCAGTGGGAACGGAGGGGTATATTCTTTGTATTTTCCTTGGTCTCCCTGCGCGTATTGACTTTGCGTGTAGAGACGAGTGAAAATATACCTTGGTATTTTCCACGGTCTCGCATCCGGGCATCTTGTATTGACCGCGTCGCATTTTCATTGCGCATCTATTATGCGTACGAGAACCTGCGCACTTTGCGCGCACTCTATTGTGACGTAATAATCACACCAAATACACACAGTTTGCAGTGTATCGAAAATTTTGTCAAGCACTGGATGCACAGTGTTGGTTTGACAAAGTTTGTTCAGTTCTTGAGATTGTCATGGTGGATGTCTGTATTTGCTCTAGATGTCTGATTTGGATAACAATAAAAATATTGACTGGCTTTACTTTCGGGAGATATCAGAAATATTGACCGCGCTAAGACCATATTGCCCTCGTCTTTCGACTCGGGGCAATATGATCTGAGCTTGGTCAATATTTCTGATATACCCCTCAAGGCCAGTCAATATTATATAATAATCATGTACATGTAGGAAGTAAATGATGGGCTTGATTGATACATTGGACATCATGCGAAAAGCAAAATTTTTCTGTTGGTCCATTTCTTTCAATTCCATCTTATCCTACTTTGAATAGAATGGCTCATTAAGAATTATTTAGGCTTTTCAGGGTTTGGACATCTAGGGGGGGGGGGGGGAAGAGCAAATAACACCCTAAAGTTCAGATTTACCCCTACATTAAATTCATTGAAATATTGTTTTGCAATGCAGTAAGCTTAGTAATAAATAACTTTTGTATGATAGGAAGTATGCAATGATGACTTCCCATCATACATTTAATGAGTTGATACCCTGTAGTGAGCATTCGCTGAGTTACATGTAGGTTACCAGGATGTACATTGCATTCTTTTGCCAGGTTGGCAATATAATATTTACCAATAACCAGACATCATCATAAAATCATTTCCAAGTATGCAAACATATTTTTCCTCACATTCTATCCCGTGCTTCCATCACTAGCTCTCTCTCTACTCCCTGGTATCAGGCATTACAGAATCTAGTTAAGCCATGGCTATCTGCTGTCTGCATTTCATACCCTTTGGTGTGGATTATCTGGAACTGCAGAAAACAAGAGAGAAAAAATATTAAAGCACCAATTTTGTCCAATCTTTAATCCTTCTATTCCATTGCAAGCTTTCATTACTTCCTGGGATCAGAGAATACAAAGTCAAATTTATCGTCGCCATGGCATTCTGCTGTCTGCGTTTTATCGCCTTTGGTGTGGGCTACGTGAAGCAGCAGCAGAGAGCGAGGGTGGAGAGCTGTGAGGATGAGGGAAAGAAGGATGAGGAGGAAGCATGGACTATCTGGGACTACCTGCTGTATGTATTCTATCTACCTACCAGCACCCATGGCCCCTTCATGCCCCCACAGATCTTCTTTCGGCAGGTGGGTGACTGGACTTTCGTTACACTAGGTCTGTCTTCATCAGCTCGCAGTTGCAATTAGCAGGATATTCGGTCGAGACAATCATTCTTGAGATATCTTGGGCTAGTTTGCAAAATATCCTGCTATTCGTCCAGTGCGTCTTCGCCAGCCCAAAGACTCGCACTGTGCGCAAACGCTGAGCAAAATATCTTGAGCTAATTTCTTAAGGTCGAGCATCGAGCTGATGAATATGCGATTATTAACTTTGGGCTTATTTCCCAAATCAGAAATAGCAGGCTATTTGGAGATCTCGAGCTGATGAAGCCATACCTACTGAGAAAATCTCTCATCACATTTTGATTTATCCACTAGGTATAAACAGAAAACCAAGTGCGTACATATTTTTACTTGAAGAGTAACAACATCCTTTAACAGAAAAGCCATCCCCCGGATTGGGTCAGGGGCCACATTTCCATACCACGGTGTGAAGAAGTTAAAACTAAGGGCCTGCTTTTTGTGCCAATTTTTGGCTGCCTTTTGTGTCTGGGTATGTGACTGTCACCTGACACTGTTTCAAGTGTAAAAGGGATTATTGATCATTGTTCCCTTCTAACTTTCAACCAAAGATATATTCTCTCTTTTTTTTAATGATGTTTTGGTCTTTTTAAAATTCTGTACTATGGATGAGAATCAAATTAGCTGGAGTCTCATTTTAATGAGAAAAGGATGAGATGAAATAAAACTAAATGGTTCCACAGTTTGTTTAACAATATATAAAACAGTATGTAAATGAATGTGACATAAATTTGATCTTGTGTTTTCTCCCTCAGATCAAGAATCCCTACTACCCATCCAGCATGAAAGAAGTCCGATGGGTGTGTCTCATGTGGCTCCGCCCAATCCTGTGCGCTGTCTTCCTGGAGTTTATTCATCATTACTTCTACTTCTCCAGTTTCATGCTACTACCTCAGTATCTTCAGACATTGCCTCTGCCTGCCTTGTGTGAGTATGCCTTTGCACTTGATTTTCCTTATTTACGTCACCATGAGCTTGATACAGACTACTCTCAAACCAGAGCTTTTTGCCTTTTGCTAACGACTGATGTGTCTGCAGTATTTGAAGAAACTTGTGCAAATTTCATTGTTGTAATTTATTGCTTTTGTGACATGCTACTGTTGTGACTTTGGACCATGAGAACAGTGGATCAATGTTGCCAAAGTAGAAATAAATATTGGCGTAACCAATACTGGTAGGGCTGACAGATACCTTTCCAAAAGTCCTTTCATTTTTTTTCTTGTGTCTTTTGTTGTTAAAGAACAAGATCAAGCAATACTTTCTCCTGCATTCTACCGATGACTTAATGACAGGGAAAGAGAGAGAAAGAGAGAAAGAGAGAGAGAGAGAGAGACAGGGAGAGAATGCATATTTCATTTCTTCTGTCAGTGTTATCCTTGACTGATTTGTATACTTTTCTAACCTGACTTAATGACAGGGAAAGAGAGAGAAAGAGAGAAAGAGAGAGAGAGAGACAGGGAGAGAATGCATATTTTATTTCTTCTGTCAGTGTTATCCTTGACTGATTTGTATACTTTTCTAACCTATTGTGTCCAGTGTCCGTACTTATATAGTTACAGTAGTACATTTGTGTAGGAACCATCAAAGTTTTTTTGGTATTAATGTCCCAGGCTTAATAGAAATCATTTTTAAGAACTTGTATTTTTAAGCCTTTCTTTTGTCAAGAATGTTAAAGAAGGAATCTTAATTGTTGCCATTTACTCCTCTCTCAGTTGCCTTGGGAGAGTGGTGCACTATCATATTTCAGATACAATACATGGTTTATTATGGGTTAGCAAAAGCTATGGCTATTTTTGATGGGGTCCTGACACCAGGCTTGCCAGCATGCATGCAGACTTTACTGACAGCTACACATGGATGGAGGTGAGTGGAATACATGGCATGGATCTACTACTATAGGTACAGGGTTCAATTAAAGCTCTCCTTAGTCAGGGCTCTCCGCTTAAAGGGATCGTTTAACAAAGTTAAATCTGAGATGTACGGCCCTACATGTTATCAGTGTCTGTGATATGGTCTTATATTGAAGCCCTAAAAATATTGCGCTATAAAATGATCAAGAAGTGCCTCAAAAAAGCAAAAACCTTTGAGTGACCGGTTTTACCATACTCGTTTTCCCCAATAGACTATAGTGTTATCAAAACCATTTGGCAAACGCAAAATTTGATTTCGATTTTCAATCATAAATATCTTGATAATCAGAAAGGCGATCGGCTTGTAAAAGTCATGGGGTTCCTAACTGACATAAAAGTTTATAATTATGATTGCAGCATGAGCTAAATCAAGGATTTTTTTACAGGATCTAAGACAAAGTTACCGGATCCCTTTAAAGTTTCTAAATCGTACCAAAGGTGGTTAAAATTTAAGGTCGTATAATCAAGCACATGTAATGTTAGTTATTGAAAAAACACGTCATGTATAGATTAGGCAGCATGAACATTTGCACACACTTTGGAAAGCATGTACCCACTTCTCAGTGAAATTTCCTTTTATTTCCTTCCTTTGCTTTATCCTGATTTTAATTTACATTATTCCAGAGCTCACCAAGTGTTGAGTAGATTCTTGATATCTATAATGACTTAACAGAAGTGTTTTCTGTTTATATGCACAGGTATTTTGACAGGGGAGAGTACCAATTTATATTGAGGTAAGTGTTTGAACGAATACCTCCTATAACACTTTACTTCCATTTCATCCCCCCTCCCCCACCATCATCAGAATTTCTCTACAAGATATCTTGACGGAATACACTACTTTGGAATTCAAGTTCATATGTTATTGAAAGAAATTTCTAATTGTACTGTGGATCATCTTGTTCAGCTATCTTTTGTTTAGATCAAGTTGTCAATCATTCACAATCCAATATATATGAATACACGAGAGCAAGTAGGTCTCAACTCGAACGTAATAGTATCTATATATTTTGTTTTTTAAATAAAAAAAATTAATGTTTTGATTTCGGTAAAATATGTATGTATTGAATAATGTATAGTCGTGTACTAATGGTTCCATGCATCATTGAAAACATTTTTTACCTCATATAGTTATTAAAATATTAAGTTTATTTCCTAATTTCCTAGTAACTCTAAAATGCTTTAGATGAAGTAGGGCCCTTCTCATGTATTCATCTATATCCAGTTCCTGATAACCTGCTGCTCTTCAATCCTGTGTGTGCTGATGTTAGAATAATGGAGAGCGAAAGTGAAAGCCACACTAGGCATAGAGGATAATACCCCCATTTGTTAAAACAATATACCTCTTATTTATCATGGAGATACTTAATACATTGAATAAAGGCCATTATGTAGATGAAGGATATAATCACAGTTCACTTATGAAGTGCCTATTCATAAGATACAAAGCACATCAAACTGAATATAATTACAAAGAAAGAAGAAAAAACATCATACAATTTACAATCAAATAGGTAAATTAAGAGACATTAGAAAAGATGTGTTTTCAATGACAATGACAATTCTCTATGATACAGGGGTAATATATCACATTTTTCTTTAGACTTCTATTGCTATTGAAAAGAGAAGGATTTCTATTTCTAGTTCACGGATTTATCAAGATTTCACCTCACTAACAGTTGAACAGAATGTTCTACTTTTTTTCCCTTCATATTGTCATGTAGAGAGCCAGAAAGGACATTAACTCAAGAGTTAATGTCTTTCTAGCTTTCAACCCAAATGGCTCTCAGCAGAAGATTTTAGATAAATATGTTATTATATTCTTTGAATAAATGAAATGTTATGAGGAAGTTTTATAATCAACACTTTTCTCCTTTTTCAATCTGTTTTTTTGAATATTTGCAGAACTGTTTGGCTGTAAAACTAGGTATAGCACACCAAAAATAAGTACAACAAACACATGTTATTTGATGATTGCAAAGGATCAAGCTTTCAAAAAATAAAAAACAGAATTGAAATCGGTCAATGCATTGTGATTTTATACCATTTAAAAAAAAAAATTATACCATTTTTTTTATATCGCAAAATTACCTAAAAACCTGCCAGAAATGGTCAAATTGGCAAAAATGGCAAAATTCGACAAAGTTGACAACTTAATTCATCACTTTCTTAAGACACAAATAATAAATTAAATTATCAGACACTAAAATATCATCTTTGTGGTAAAAAGTACAAAAAAGAAAATTCATATATCTATTACCATTTTGAAAACAGAAGCCATTTTTGCCATTTTTGCGAATCTGAAATGAAAAAGTTGTGAAAATACGGTAACTAAGTCCGCCTAATTAATATGTGCATATGTAATCAAATCAAAACCGAGCATGATACATCAGTGAAACCTATGTATATCAGACAGGAATGGAAATATATTTTATTTGAAATTTTAAAAAATCATGAATATTCATCAAATATGCAAATTAGGTCATTTTAGATACCGGTAATTATATATTCGCGCACTCATTATGCAAATTAGGAAAGTCAAACTGTTCATTTTTTGGGCATTTTTTAAATCATATATTTATAGATCATATTTACACCAAATATTAACATTAAATTCCAAATGACCCAAATTGGCCCAATGCAGTGGCGATGGAAATTACTTGGATCACTGTCACAGCTATTTCCTCATGTGTTTCATAAATCATTCAGAACAACTGATCAAATTAAAAGAATTTGCAGACTTTCAGCTACATCACAGTATAGTTGTCTTTTTAAAAGATGTCAGATTTGAGGATTTATGATGATTTTCTGAGAAACCATTCAACAGGCCATAACATTCCACAGGGACTGAATTTCAGAGTACCAAAATGTTTGGTGACCCGAGTACAGTTGTGGCTACCTTGAGTGTAAACACCAAATTGATTCAATGAGTGGAACACATGAGAATATTGCATTTTTTGTAGGGGAGTTTTATACATTGAGGTGCATTTTCACCACGCAGAATAACAGTGCAAGTCAATGGGCGATCAGCGGACCATGTCACACATGGCTGAACAGACAATATTCTAATTAAATAATTTAACATATTTCCCACATGCCTATAACAATGAAACTACACAGAATTGTAGTTAAAGGTATGGATAAAATATATGTAAAATAAAAATTAAAAATATTGTTTAGTTTTTTTAAAATAAAATTACAAAAATTGCTATTTCTACCAACTGACTGCTGTTGTGTGTGTGTGTGTGCATGGGGCAGACAGTGTGTACAGGCAGTGTGATCACCCTAGTCAAACCTATCAGTTTTAAAGTGATTTCTCAAATATCCACTATGAAGTATGGAATCAAAATTATTCTCCATATACCTACCTTCATTCTTAACATCTTCATTCCTTTTTGGTGGATCTCAACATGGAGGCCTCCATCGATACGTAACTCTCATAGTCTGCTATTGTTTCTCGTGTTTCTGGCATTGCTTTTAATAATCAGCTTTAATCTATCAAAAAAACCTTGCACAGTAAGATTTAAACTGATGCATTAAAAGTCAGATCACTCCTCCTACATGCATTTTTTCCTTCTTTTACTGCTGAATAGGAACATCTACATTCCGTTCGGTGGATCTCAACATGGTGGTCTACGGCAGTACCTAGCTCTGATGATCAGCTACTGTTTCACATGTTTCTGGCATGGCTTCAATTATCATATCATTGTCATGGTTCTCATGTTCTGGGTCTTGGTGCAGTGGGAAGCTTTCTCACCTATCATAGCTAGAAAGGTTGGAGTTCAGAAAATGGTAGGTTTATCAATACAATTGCTTTTATTCAATATTGCACACTGTTTGTAAAACTCAAGGGGGTGAAAAGACCAAGAAAAATACAACCTGTTACAACATTTCTTTTTATAGAAGGCATATATGTACAATATAATTTGTTTAAATATTCATTAGTGTTGCTAATTAATGATGTGTAAAGACGTGTCGGGAACACAAAATGCAAATTTGTTTAAAATCATATATTTATTGCATAAAGGGAAAACCACATTACGGCATAAATACAGTACATTCCTCTGCTTCCTTGTGTGTTATTGAAGATATATCATTCAAATACATTTAAATTACAAATTGAGATAAAACATAATCACTAGCTATTATGCATTTTGCATTCTAGTCCCATCTTTACATGCCTCTAACTTTCATAGAGTTTCCTTTCATCCCTTGCATCCTCTTGATCTCTCTTCATGTCTACTTTTATTTATTTATTTTTTATTTTTTATTTTTTTCATTGATACGCTATCCAATTTCCAGGTTGAGAAGCTGTCTCCTCTGACTAGACGAAGACTGGACTGCGCCCTGACCGGAGGAAAGTATCCTCTCCTGGTCTTAGCTATGATCTTCTTCATCAACAACATAGAGGTTGGCAAGATCTTTGTCTACAGGGTTCTAGGTGCACAGGGTTAGTTCTTTAGACTTATAGGCTTGAAACTTTAAAAAATGCCACCACTGCAAAACCAGAAACCAGAAACTCTAATGAATCGTTTATTTATGATGGCCATTTCATGGCAAGAAACTCTTGGGTTTTCTTTCTACCCAAATGATTTTAGACTCATATAGTTCATAGCTCCATTCCATGATCACACCACCTTCAAAATGAACTTTAGGTAAACATCAGACTGGGATCAGAACCTGTTACTCTTTCCTTAGAAGTATTAGAGACTTAACCAATGAACCAAACTATTGATATTTTGCATTTACACCTCTCTTTATGCTCTGACATTTTGTATATCACATGTTGCTTGTTGTTAAAAATAATCAACGTTTGTCTCTGTAATCATATTTGCACTTCTTCTCTTTTTTTTCTTATTCTGCACAGGTGCATTGTGGGTTATAGCGGGACTCCTTGGGGTGCATTATTGCCATGTTCAGCTCTTAGAGGAATGCTTCTGCCGCTGGGGAAAGAAGTATGTGATGGAGAAACACTACATGGCTCCCCCACAGCTCTGAGTGGTAGAAACTCGTTATCAAACAATGTGGGAATGTATCTGGCTGAAGGGGAAAGAAGTATTATAAATGTGTGGGAGAAACAGTGCATGGCTTGTTTGAGGTTCTCCACATCCATTTTCCTATTAATCAGCCTTACAATAATTCTAGTAATATGCATTTGACAATCAGAATAATCTGATCAATACACAAGAGTTCCGACAGTTGTTTTTGTAGCTTCTAGTCAGAAAGGAATTTAAAGGCCATGCATCTGCAATTCCAAGTTGTTCATCAGTGTTGCTTCAGATCCTGACAACTTGTAAAACCACTACATACTTTGCTATAGCTATGTTTTGACATTTCAATGAATATGGCGAAAAATCATTAATGGCACTTCTTGCCTCTTTTTTCTTCTCCAGGTCAATTTCTAATGAATATGATTTTGTTTTGGTCAAATTTCCTTTACATCAGCTTACCTTATTATTCACACACACAGCCATCATCATAACCTTGCCATATAGCATTCAAGTAAGTTTGATATTTTTTTTCTGTTCAGGGTTACTTTGAATTTATATAAATATATTACTACAATGCTGCTTCTGCTTTGGCATACCGGTATGGAAGCAATGGAAGACAAAAAAATAGAGTGTGGAAAATTAATTTCAGTTTAATTATGTGTCAATAAGAGAGAGAGAGAGAGAGAGAGAGAGAGAGAGAGAGAAAAAGAGAAAAAGAGAGAGAGAGAGAGAGAGAGAGAGAGAGAGGGAGGTAGGGAGGGAGGGAGGGAGGGAGGGAGGGAGGGAGGGAGGGAGGGAGGGGGAGGGAGGGAGGTAGGTAGGTATAGAGAGAGAGTGAGAGTGTGTTGGGGGGGAGGGGGAGTGAGAGGAGATGGCATGAAAGCTTACTGTGAAAGTTTCCAGAGATTGTAAGTTGTGCAGCTGATTTCTTCATCTTTTTTTTCCTTTTCTCATAAATGTGTGATTTGACATGAAGCAATTATTATTTACAGCCTTTTTTATTCAGTTTATGTGCATTTACCTAATATAAACTTGAGCCAGAGAGGTATCTGTAATTAATTGCTGTGTTTCCTGAATTTTTTGTTGTTGTCTTTTTCATGATATTTTTTGAGGGCTCTATTTTCAACAGTAGGAACATTAGATAATATATATTTTTGTATTTTAAAGAGTTATCTGTATTTCATTAATACATTCCAGTTGTATTTGTAATTGATGTATGTTGTTATATTCAAGTTTTAAGTGTGAAAATGGTGCCTTTTAATAAAAAAGAAACTTACATTTTTAAATAGATCTCTTTTTCCCCTCTATATTTTTGTAATTAATATAATAATGCATGTAATTTGCCTCAGTATGGGTGCTTGGTATGTAAACTTTCTTTCATATCGAACTTGATAAATGAGCATTAATTATCTTGTCATGATACAGAAACTTATTATGTGAATGCTAGTTCTGTGAATGTTTATTGATCGTTTAAAAAACAACTCCTTTATCTTCTTGCCATTCAACACATAGATCTAGCTTGTGCAACTGTGGTTATATTCAAGCTGAACTTGCCATGTTAGCATTATCTTGCATTATGGGTATTACTTGTACATGGATACAATAAACAACTCTTTAGCAGTACCGGTAGAAAGTTAATCATCATTGCTATCATGTGTGAAATTAATAACGATTAAGAATTTGTCATATCCTAGTATACATATTGTGTATTAATGTTAACATACATGTATACAATATTTCATGTTGGGTTATAAATTGGCAAAGCCTTCGAATAAGATTTATTATTTATTTTGTTTTTAACATTGTGAACAAAATTATAGGCCAATTTCATATATAAGGTAAATGTGTCCCAGTATTTAAACATGCAGGCAACAGTGATATCGTCCTTGTTTTCACGAAGTGACGGTAGTGAGGAAAATCGTAACGCAAAGTGAATGCAATTTTTTTTCACTACCGTCACTTCGTGAAAACAGCGACGATATGATGCAATATCTGCATAGGTGCTACAATATTTGAAATTGAATATTGTGAACAAAGTCCAAACAAAGCAAACACATGTACTTCTTGTAATGATAAGCATCAAGTGGGAGAATTTTGGGGGTACATGGGTGCATATTATGATAAGCTTACTGAGAACTAATTGTGTTGCTTGGATGTTAGAAAGCATTTTTTAAAACATGCTGTGATATATTTTATAGGTAAATTTCATTCTTATGTCATTGTTACTCAGGGTAAGATCGTTATTAAGGTAAATGAATTTTAGAAGTAAGAGAATTTATTTGGACCAAATTGAAAGTAAGATAACTTGTATCTTCTTTTTTTTAATGCTAAACAAATATGATACAGAATTGTTTCTATTCATTCCATTTTAAGTGGGACAACATTAAAACAATCATGAATGAACATACTATAGGATTTGATCATCTAAATTAATTTGTCTTGCATTCAAATTCGACGGTTTTAGTGCTGTCAGATATATCTTGGGTTTATATTCCTTTTTCTAGTTTTCAAATCTATGAATTTTTTGTTAGAATCTATGTATGTTTCATTCAAATTAACGAATAATGTGCTTCTTCCGCTTTTTTGTAATTCGATTTTGCGCAACACGATTTCTGACATCGCGAAGGTGTACTTTTAGCATTCAAATTCATTTGTAGCATTTAAGTTAGCACTTTGTGCACTTAAATTGATGGTCAATATACATTTCTCATTTATTAAACACTTTTTATAGCTTATTCTTTTTCTTTCAAGATTGTTATTTTTTCATCTGTATTTCATCATATTTTTTTTCTTGCATTTATACATTTGATATACTCTTAGATTTATCCGATATTCATCATCCTTTAACTTTGATTGTTAAGGAAAAAAAGAAGACTTGCATCTACGAACTTGATGGTCTCAATATGTTTGTAATTTTTCATGTAAGGAAGTTGTTCGTCTTGTGTTTTATCATAAATTTATCATAATTTCATTATGGAGGAAGGGTACAATATTGTGACTAGGGAAGGTCTTTTTGTATCCCCACCTTTCCGGGGTATATGAATATGTCCGTGCAGAAATGCCATTTCCCTTGATTTCGCGGCCCCTTCTTTACCTAATGTTGGACTACACCCATATGCATTGTCCTCAAAATTAATGAATGGAATAATAGAAAAAGACCCCAATGGCAAATCATGCATATAATTGCATTTTTTAAAACTGTAAACGTGTGCTGCATTCCCCCCCCCCCCCCAACATCCTAACTTGAATAAACATAATTCGAATACGAATGACAGGTGTTAATTTGAATGATAAAAATGACGCCTCGACAAATGACAACTAATTTGAATGCTAGTTGAGCAGTTTCTAAATTAAATGACAGATCTATGAAACCCTTCAACCAAAATCCTAAATTAAATGCCAAAACGGGGAAATTGAATGATATTTGGCATGGCAAAGCCGATCTGTGCTAACTTAAATGCAAAGTAAATGAATTTGAATGACAAACTCGCGAATTCCTATATTTGAAAATTCATGCTGTATTTTTATATTAAAAAATTCCTTACATGGACATAATACTTATTTACTCAAGTAATTCATTAACAGGGAATGATCAAAGTCAATTAAGTGTACGCAGGATATCATCGTTGCCTGATTCAGATCTGAACATATTCTTGTTACATGTGTTATGTAACTGATCACTTACCATCTTTGCCTATTGATAAGGGCTAATGACTTTTATACAAGATTTTTTTATATGAGTAAATTGACTTTCATCTATTTAAAATTTTGGTTACTCGGTACTAAAATAAAGACATTATCTTATTAATTCAAATGAAAAATAGTTGTGTGTGTTTATTTGCTAGTTGGTTTTTAGAACATGAACTTTGAGACGAACGGATTTCTTTTGTACGTTGAATCTTTAAAAGATGAATGTGTTTGTATCTGAAACAATTATATATATATTGTTTAAATACACATATACCTGTGTTTTGAGACCGGTCGTGATTATCAGACAGACATTCAGCGTTTCTTACCTCCATTCTTTGTTATATTTACCATCTAAATCATCACAACCCCATCCCCATCTTCATTCGCAGGTCCTTAGTAACATCATTACTCATCATTTCTATGATTGTCATTATAGTCATCATTTTTGCCTCCATCGTCATCATCATCATCATCATCATCATCATGACCTCCAATCATTATCAGCCACCCTCTTCATCATCATCATCATCATCATCATCATGGCCTCCAATCATTATCAGCCATCCTCTTTATCATCACCATGACCTCCAATCATTATCAGCCATCCTCTTCATCCTCATCATTATCATCGTCATCATCATCATCATGAACTCCAATCATTATCAGCCATCCTCTTCATCATCATCATCATCATCATCATGACCTCCAATCATTATCAGCCATCCTCTTCATCATCATCATCATCATCATGACCTCCAATCATTATCAGCCATCATCTTCATCATCATCATCATCATCATCATCATCATCATCATCATGACCTCCAATCATTATCAGCCATCCTCTTCTTCATCAACCTTTATCATCATCATCCTCATCATCATTATCAGCCATCCTCTTCATCATCATCATCATCATGACCTCCAATTATCATCATTACCACCATGACCTCCAATCATCATCATCATCATTACCACCATGACCTCCAATCATTATCAGCCATCCTCTTCATCATCATCATCATCATCATCATGACCTCCAATCATTATCAGCCACCCTCTTCATCATCATCATCATCATCATCATCATGGCCTCCAATCATTATCAGCCATCCTCTTTATCATCATCATCATCATCATCATCATCATCATGACCTCCAATCATCATCATTACCACCATGACCTCCAATCATCATCATCATCATTACCACCATGACCTCCAATCATTATCAGCCATCCTCTTCATCATCATCATCATCATCATCATCATGACCTCCAATCATTATCAGCCACCCTCTTCATCATCATCATCATCATCATCATCATAATGACCTCCAATCATTATCAGCCATCCTCTTCATCATCATCATGATCATGACCTCCAATCATCTTCAACCATCACCATCCTCCTCCTCCTCCTCCGCCTCCTCCTCCTCCTGTCCAATCAGATCTAGTATCCTCTTCATGCGCAGGTCATTATCACCCTCATCACTACTGTTATATCATTATCCCATCATCTCTATAAATCATTGACCCATTATGATCGTCACGCCTTTTCTCATTGCAAGTGACACATTTTAGGAAAAATTAAGTAAACATGAACGCTATTAAACTTCTTAATTTCAAGGATTTTCATTTATTTCCTCATCCGTATAGTATACACAACTTATTTTACATCTTAATACTTTGGTTTAAATAACTTTTGCACCATGTACAACGCATGTGAGAGAAAAATACAGCAAACTATACATGGGTGAGCTGGTAAATAATGTCTCGTTATAAAGTATTGTTGATCAACACAATTCTTACGAATTGATTTTGTGTGTGCGTGATATGTCGTTCAAGAGAGAAGGCTAACACTAAAGGTGATGGTTTATGTTGAGAGAAAAGATGAAGGAAGTAGAATTTAAAAAAAAGAGAGAAAGATAACTTTTAGTTGCCGGCTCGATAACCGAAAAGATGATGTTGTCGATGATGATGATTTGATTATCTATTTGAGACGGAT